TGCATGTCTTCAACTTCTTAGTTCTACCATGCAACAATGAAAAAGAAACTTCCTCTTTTGATTCAAGCCATAATAGACCAAATTTCGGTACAGACCAAAACAAACAGATGCCATATGTTAAACACGAAACAAATTCCTCACATAATGGAAATTTCATTATAAAATTAAACGATTTGTAAATGTTCTGTCATTGGTCTTTTCAAAATGCGAAACAAAAATAACATGGCAGCGCACGTGATCTGTCTAAGGCTATTCAAAAAAAAGAACTCGTTAGAAAGGGGCGAATAAAGTGAGAGTTCAGAATGTGGTCTGAAGTATACTTTGGAAGATACCTACAACGTTACAAACCCCTAAAACCCTAGCTATCCAAATCACCAAATTTTTCCCGCCAATATTTTTAGAAAAGCACAAAATTTAAAGTCTCGTGTTTTTTGTTGCATTCTTTCTTTGAATTTATAAACAAATAGGTAGGTAAGTATTTTTATGCTTTTTTTTCTATAGCTCTCTGAAGCCATGCCATGCATTCTGAATGACTACAGAAAAAAGCGCGCCAACTTTCCATCATATCTTTAATATAATTGCTTGTTTTTTGTTTTTTCTTTTGTTTATAAACAAGTTTTTTCTGTATATTGGGTTTTTGAATGGGCTTTGCAAACGGCAACACTGTTTTATAGAGATATATACATTCAAGGGGAGAAACATTCCTCTCAGAGAAAGAGGAAGAGAGAATGAGAGCGCGAGACAGAGCACACTATATAAACAGCAATAACAAAATATGTCGTCTCAAACTGCCTGCCAAATTTTGGTTGTGTGGTGTGTACTTTTCCCTCTGTTCACGACGATATTAGTGATGCCAACTAGTGAAATAAATAAAAACGCAATAAATGAAAATGTCAAAAACACGAGGGGAAATTAAATATTTAAATTTTGAATCGTATTTTTGTTTATTTTTAAAGGTTACATTTAATTACCGATTATGAAAGGGAGGAAAGGGAGTTTCATCACGTTGAACACATTCACTTATATGAATATGTCATGTTTATGTTAGAGCTTTTTGTAAGGCTAACCTACTTTAAGGGGATTCATTTGCAGTATGAGTAATGGATATTATTATTTTAAACAAAATCCAGTGGTTTAACACCTTTATACAAGGTGAGATGAAAAACTGCAACAAACTTCAGACTGCTGATATTTCTAAGCCACTCGGCCAACAGCTGTTAAAATTATACCCGTGACAGGTCAAAAGCGTTCAAAAGCATTTCGGTGAGAATTTTCCAGAAAAAAAGTTATTCGTGATGAAATTCAAGCGTGATAGTGTGATTTCTTTATATTTGGCTGGAAAACCACAAGTGGCTATCGTTAGAGCACTCCAGCATTTAAATGTAAATAAATCTTTTGTGTCTCGTACCATCGCTCGTTACCGTGGTACGAGACCGATGTTTGCTCTCCGCTCGTATTAATCGTATAAATGCCGAATATTATCGCGAAAATATTCTGGAGGGTGTATTAGATACAATAATCTTGGATTCCAATATAGCTATTTTATTTATTCATTTCATTAATGAAAAGGAATTAATATGAACTTCCACATTTATAATTTATTTTTTATGGATTTAAAAAAAAACACGCCTGATTGTCAACACTATTTTGCTCTTGTATAAAATGGTGCCAAAACGAGAATGGCAATGGGGCACCCAGATACTGAGAGAGAGGGAGAGAAATCAATATTTTTTCAAAGGTAATAAAACATCTGCTACAACCGTTATGTAAAAAAAGACATTCCATTGAAATGTGAAAATTGTTAAAACTACATTTTTGATGATTGAAAATAGATAATAGATTAATACAATATGCCTTCTACAACAAAAGAAACTTGGAATCAGAATCACATGTGCTTGGGATTTTGATTCCAAGAAAAGTTCACATTTTGCCAAGAAATAAAAAGTATACAACAACGCAACAAAACCGCAAAGGAGAGAGAGAGAGGTGGATACGTTAAAATTGAGAAAAAAGAGAATCATATACAAATGTGTGGTACTGACTTATGTGTGTGTGTGTGCGTACCATTTCGTATGCACTGCGTCGTAATATTGGGGAAAAAGTTAATAACGACGAAAGCGCAAAAGACGAACAACTACGAAGTGCAATAAAAAAAATCTTGTTCGTCGCATATGGTGAAAAGATTACGCAATTTATCATCGTTTAGGTTGATAGATTTTGTTTTTTTTTTTGTCGTCGTCGTCGTTTTCAACAAAATAGCAATGTAATATAGCAATTTTCGTTGACTGTTTGATTGTGTTTTCTTTTATTTTACGCGGCAATTTATGGTTCATGAGGAATGAATCACTTTTGTTTTTAGTGGGATTAGCAAAAAAAAAAAAAAAAGTACCTAATTAGAATGCATTGAAATGAAAAATGTGATTGAACGATGATACGCGACCGGGAACACTCACTCGTTTAAAACACGTTATTCGATTGATTTTTTATTGCTTGCTTCGGTGAGGGGGATTAATTTGCGTTATGACGTTGTCGTTGTTTTTAATTCATCACTTCATTCTTTTATTTTTAATTAATTAATTTGTTTACTTCGTTAAAAAACACGTGAAAACTTATTTACCATTTGAGTTTCATTTTTTTTTTCAAATTTGTTCAGAACATAGCACTTGTAGGGGTCAAAACTTAAATTACTAAAGATCCAACAAATCAAAAATGCTTAGATTTTAATAAAAATTAACACATGTGTGTGTGAGTGAAACAAGGAATATTAATTCTTGGTTACATTAAAGAAGTTTTAGTAAAACTCCCGTTTTAAGGATTTAAAACATACTTTATGTAAACATATCCCAATTCTTAGTTACATTCATGGTAGAAGAATACAGGTAGATGCATCAACGCTTGAGAACATTGATATTTCAAAATTTTTAAAATGTTTTTTCTTTTTCAAAAAAACGTAGACAGAAGATGTGTCGATGCGACTACCTGCATAATTCTACCATGATTACATTATTAAAAAAAAACTCTGAAATTACAGTCTCTGTATTTACTCATTCTAAAATATCTCCAGATCCCCAGAGTTTCTTTAAGCAAGCTCTATTAGTATCTTCTTGGCTATTAAAATGTCTAGAAAATTTGTATAACACCTAATCTCTATCTAGGCTGTCCAGTGGGCTATTTTTAAAAAAAAAACATGGAAAAATTACTTCAAAGCGTTGCCAGCTTATCTTCAAATTGATCGATGAAATGCTCAGTAGAAGGATCCTCACATAAAGTTCGGCAATACGCTACATCAAAGCACCCCCTTTTAACATTGCTGTACTGTAGCGCCTGGCGAATAACTCAAGAATTTGAAAGTCTGTCATTACTTGTAATTTTATCCATTTTATACTTATTTATTTGGTCTAAATATTTAATTAAAGTGGAAGCGGGAAGAAATTTTGGTAAGTGTCTTATTCTAAATATTTGAAGAAAAATTAGGTTCTTAGGGCAATTCGTGGCATTCCTTTCTAAAATGGATAAATATTGACACATTTCTATTTAAGAATTTAATTGCAATTGTGATTTGTTGGATCTTGCCAAGGTATATACAAACATCAAAAATAATAAAAGCTTAAGAACAAATATGCGAAATTTTACCGGATCACAAGATTATAATTTTCAAAAATTCAAAGAAACTAGTTATCGATAACGGGTTATTCAGCATAGCTTGACGAAAGATCACTCTAAAGGTGGGAATACATAAAGCGCTTATCTGGCTGGCTTGTCATTGGCTGGCTTCTTCGGAAATGAACAAAGGAGCCTAGGACCAAAATCGAACTAAGTCAACCTTAAACTCCTTTATTCATATTCGAAGAAGCCAGCCTATGACTTAAGCCAACCAGATAAGCGCTTTATGTATTCCCACCTTTAGAGTGATTGTTGCTCTTTATGTATTTCCACCATAACAGCTGATCGATAAATAAATTTTCATTTCCTTTTCTTTTATTACGAGAGCGGCCAAAAACGTTTTACAAGTTTTTAATTTATTTTTTTTTTAAGTACATTATTTTTACTTTTATGTTGCAAGATATACCTTGGCATTGTATGTTTTTGTATAAAAATTTCATTGATTTTCGTTTCAATTTTAGGTTTCCTTTTTCTTATTTTAAAATAAAATATTTAAAAAAAAAAAGATGTGGTTTATAATGATCACTAACTAAATCTATGGAATTTTAATTTTATTTAATTAAAATAAAACACTGCGTTTTCAAAATTTGTTAAAGAATTCGATGGGTGGCCCGATCCCTTTAATATGCAAAATAAGCAAATTTTATTATTTTTCAACATTTTAATACATTTTTCGATATGTGGCCAGGCCACATTAGAAAGTAACCGGTGCACATACGATACAGTGGAGCGCATTTTAAAAATGTGGCATTTTTTGTTTTTAAACGATTGCTCTAAATTTGTTCCTTAATTGCTAAAAACGCAATTGGCGGCATTTGATTGTGACATTACCGAAAATTGTTTAGAAATATTTACTAGCCTCTCATATTTGTTCCCTAAAACGCTCCACGGACCGGCGATGTTTAAAATATGAATTCGATGGGGCTAGTCAGCTGTTTAACGCAAACGGCGTGGAAATGAAAAAGGGGGGGCACATTTAAAAAAAAATGTATTTGTAGTTTTATTATTTACACGTTTGTATAACATGCTGTGTAATGATAAGTATTTGTTACCTAAATTTTGTTTTAACATTCCAAAAGCCAGAAAACACAAATCCCGCTTATAATTGGCGTTGCCATATTGTTAATTTGCAAACATAAAGAAAATACCCTTCCTATCCGAGAACATGTCAACTCCTAAAGAGCATTAGTTATAGATCACAATAAACCACATTGAGAATGTAAACATAACATCATCCTCTCATCAATCGATGAGTGGCCGGTTGTTGTTGGCTTAATTGAAGGGAAGAACCATTGAAACAAAAATCAATACAAACAATATGGAAAAATCCAACTCACCTGTATTTGATGAAAATGTTCCATGATGTTTATATTTTTAACGTGTTTCTCTTATATTTGCCGCATATACGCTGATAAACTGCTCTCTCTCTCGTGCTCGGCTCAAAAGGATGATACTGATTAATGTCGCTGGTTGTCAGATTGGGGGGAGGCGGTGGGGGACACTCAATTTATATCCGAAAAAAATGTAATCGCTTTGGAGTTTCTTAAAACATGGAACTCTTTTTAAATGTTTATAAGCTTTTATGCTCTTCTTTTTTGTTAGGAAATAATACTTATTTCATTTAATTACCACTCGTTAACATAACTGATGAGCAGCGTGCTGTTTGGCTTGTTGATTCACCATTAATTTTAATTGTGTTTTTTAATGAAATTTTAGGCGCGCTTTTTTCAAGAGCGTATCTTTTTATTTTTTAGTAGGCGGCCTGTTTGATTCTATACTTTTCGGTGATAGTATTCAATTATAAACAAAGCTTCTTGCATTTGTTGCTTTTTATATCGTTTTTTTTTTTTCTATTGGAAATCACACTTTATATTTTTACTAGAAATAGTAGAACAAAAAAGAAATTCGTTAACACTAGCCACACTTATGGAGGACAACCAAAGGAACAACGCAACCACCAACAAGAGAGAAGCCAGCAGAATTTCACACCAGAAGAATGAAAAACAACAACGCGTTACAATACAGTAGTGATGACAACAAATGTCAAATAATCGTATAATAATTACACTAATTCATTACAAGAGATTTCCGCGCCTCTCGTTTACACTACTCATTTGTTTTCTTTTTTATTTTTTGCTTTTCACTTTTTCTTTGAGGTACCACAACGTCTAAGGTTTTTCATTATTTTTCTCTATTTCGTTTTATTGGATAAACATTTCATAGAAGAAAATCCTATCAGACTGGAGGGTTTATTGTTGTTGTTGTTGCTGCTGCTTGGTTAGAGGTGGTGATGAGGGTTATTGCTATGGTTCGAGTTGAAAAGAATAAACATCAACATAAAAACCCTCTCCAACAATTGTAGTTGCCTTTTTTAATTTAATAGACAACTTACTGCCTGCTTTGTGACTTTACTGTACAATACTATATGAGGTACAATACAACATCAGCGCCATATAGGAGACAGGAGTTAAAGCAAAACGAACGACACAACATGAAAAAGAAATACAAGAAGAAAAAATCTTCATCTTCTTTGTCGTCGTCGTGGTCGTCATTCACACTGTGGTGCGAATATTTGCTGTTATTCCTGTTGTTGTTGTTGTTGGTTTCATATGGTAGCGCGTTGTATTGCCAGTTGCTCTGATGTTGTCTTCGGTTTTGATTTCGCTCGTTGTTATTTTCTTTCTTTTTTTTTGCAATTGAATTTTGTAGGTATGGCGTTGCTGTTGTTGCTGCTGCTGATTCTTCTTCTTGTTGCTGCTGTTGTGTTGTTTCTTTTTTGCTGTTTTGTGTTTTTCTTATTTGTATCACACACTGTGTATATTATAATGGCAGTTCCGCAGTGTATATTTAAACAAAACCACTGTATGTTGTACGTACCAACAACGAACGAATGCTATGGCAATTGCCTTTACAAATGCTATTGAATTGAGTTTCTTTATGCCTTGGCTTGTATAGCTGCTTTGCCTTAAAAAAGGCCGTTTCCATATGTATGTATGTCTGTCGTTCGCTTGCAGTAAATAACGCTGAGCAGAGAGTGTGTTCACGAAGAAAGAGAGAGAATTCGCTCTCTCTCGTGGTATATGCATTGTTTCTATCTCTCTTTAGCCCATACAAACGAATGGCATTTGGCTTCGTTGTACGTTTCATTTTATGTACGTAGTATTTTTCCAATTGACAGCATGTATAGTTGTTTGTGTATCCGCTTTTGCAAATCATTGCGGCGATAGGGTTGCCAATGTATCGATTTGTCAAAAAAATGATGTTCCCTGTATTTAAAACTATAACTACGGGTCTTCTAGGTAATCACGAATTTTCACTATTTAAGATTAATCCACGGTTTATTAGATCTAGTCGATTAATCTTGTGTGTTTACATTCATCTTTGGATATTTGATGTTGAAAAATGAGTGTCTATTCACATTGGTGACCTTGTTCAAATGTAAAAACGACTTTGCGGAAACATTTGCGACTTGTATGGTAAATGTAATTTAATATACTCGGATTAAGGAATAAATCCACATAATATGGTTTATTCTGGGTAGCATTTTGTTACTAAACGCGTTATTAAAATGCAAGGAGTTTAGGTTGACCTAATAAAAAATTCGGCTAATATGTTGCGATGGCACACCCCATGGTAGAATAACAGAAGGTAGAAAAAAGCTGGCTCCTAAATACAATTTTTTCTTCATTAAACAATTTGTATTGTTTTGAAGAACAAAGAAAAATATTTCCGAATTCAGATGTAGCAAAAATGCATACTTTTGACGTTAATGGAATTATTTTTTACAATCGTGTGAAAAATAATATTTCCCTGAAATTTAAATAGTTTTACAGTCAGTTCGGAGCGTGATTTTGGTTCGGTTCAGTATAGGTATATACATACAAAGCAAGTTCCACACAAACTACTTATCAAAATTCATTAAATTAGCCGATGTGGCCTAGATTCCAAGCAATTTTCTATAGAAAAAAAAATATATTTATATATATAAAGAAATGATAAAACGTCGACTGCACAATTTTTTGAGCCGATCCGAAACACTTTTCCAATTAAAGTGTGATTTTTGGTTCGGTTCAATAGTTTTTTTAGACAAAGATTCCTCTGGGTGCATTGTAACATGGATGGGAATACATAGTATTGAATCCCAAAATGAGTTACGTTTGTAAAGTTGTATGGGCAACTCTGTTACACTCTCTCCCCTACGCTTTATACAAATGGCGCATTATTTTCAACATGCTGAGTGAGAGATAATCAAAATCGGAGAGAGAGAGAGATACTGCTATGAGACCTTTCCATCGGCAATATACCCATTCGTAATCGTTGTTGTTTTTTTTTTTGTAGAAAAACATCATGAGACCGATGTATTAACGAATTCTCACGCAATGTTTTTTGCGCTGTCATATTTCAAATATACATCTACTTCAAGTATACATACATTCATATTTATGTACTGCGTTACTGCCGAACGCCATGAATAACAACAACAGCAAAAACGAATGTAATCCAAAGAGAAAGTAGTGTGCTGTGCACACAGCACAAAATGCCTTTAAAACTCATGTCACCACAGCCGACTTGCATTAACCATTAACAACCTCAAAAAACACATTCATCCGAGAGTTTTCATTCCTGCAAATTTCGATTTTTCACTTAATTTGAAAAATACTTTTGACTCGAGCAGTTTCACCCAATAGACGGATGGATGGTTGGATCGATCATCAGAATAACAAACAAACAAAAAACGGCCAAATAAAGTTGTTTTAGTTTAGTTCGAAGAAATCGATTATAACTATTGTATGGTGATGGCGTGTGTTTAGGCTGTATTAAAAACAATAAATGCATTTTAAATTATTTACGTGAACGAAAATACGAATTAACTTGAATTTTTGTTTTATATAGACAACGTTTTAATGGTATTTTCTTCTTGTAGTATGACTGTACTTTACGCGCCTTTTTTTTTTTGTTATTTTTTGTGTTTTTGTTGTTGGCCTAAAAGAGACGCGAAAACTGTGGTGTATGTATCTCATGCTTCTCTACAGTCGATGATGTTGTTGTTGGTGTGTGTCCCAATATGATTACCCCTCCGCTGTTGTATACAACAACACAAATACATAGTTTTGTACACCAACTAGGTACTATTTTTTTTTTTATTTTTAAAAGTGGTGTACTTTTTGTTGTTCGCGAAAATTGAAATGTTTACATACATTATGACCAAAGGAATAATTTTAAAAACTATCGTGGTTTTAATAAATCTAAAACACTTGAAGATAACCAAAGACCTGAACATTATGACCCTGTGGAGTACCACCTATACATATGGATCATGAAGTTAATTTCGTTTTTTTAATACAACAATAATCTAGTATTATTCATAATTGTTAAACCTTTTCGAACAGTTGTTTCGATGTAGGTTTAATTTTTATTATAGACCCTATAAAACGGTACCCCTGATCTTCCAATTGCCAACCAAAACTATCGTTATTTGGCATATCGGTTTCTCATTAGGTATTTTAACTACTCCAAAGAATATTTAAGAAGGTTTCCTTTCTTTGTATAGTCATGTCCAAAGTCTGCGTCCAAAATGTTTGCGTCCCCAAGGCTTTAATACACCCTCCAGAATATTTTCCCGATAATATTCGGCATTTATTCTGATACCACAATCGAATTATATGAGCGGAGAGCGACCTTCGGCTGTTATAGCGGCCCACACCATCACCATGGCCGGCGGTTGAGTTCTGATGCCCAACCGAAGGTGCACATTTTCAGCAGACCTCTTTGACGAGTAAACACGATCATTTTGTTTGTTTGCAAACTGCTGGACAACGAATGTTTTCTCATCCGAGAGACCCAAATTTGTCAGTTTACCACTTTCGGCCAAGCGAAGCAACTATTTAGCTCTTTTGAATCTGTTTTCTTTCTGTTGCGGTGTAAGTTCTTGCACTTTTTGGAATTTCAATGGCTTTACCCCGAGCTCATTTTTCAATATTTGTCGAATGGAATATTGCGATATGTTCAGCTCACGAGCCACGCGGGTTTCTATCAAGTCGCTTCTTTACTTTTCGATCCATTTCTGCTGATGTTGCTGTTTTTTCCGTCCACTTCCTTGACGTCGGACTAAGCTACCAGTATCACTGTAACGAGCGATGGTACGAGACAAAAGATTTACTCACATTTAAATGCTGGAGTGCTCTAACGATAGCCACTTGAGGTTTTCCAGCCAAATATAAATAAATCACGCTTGAATTCAATCGCGAATAACTTTTGTTCTGGAAAATTCTTACCAAAATGCTTTTGTACGCTTGTAAACAATATAATGAGCTGACACTGGAATAATTTTAACAGCTGTCGGACGATTGGCTTTGAAATTACAGCAGTCTGAAGTTGGTGGCAGCTTTTTCATCTCACCCTGTATAATCATAAATTAATTTCTTTTATTATTTTGTAATTTTTACTGGGGTATAAAAGTTAAATTAGCACTCCCAGCTCTGCAGTTTCTATACTTTATCTTTTCACATTTTATGGCATAAAAAAAGTTCTCAGCTCTGCTTTTGTGCATATACTATGGATTTATGAATATAGGAATGAAATGCATAAGTTTGAAAAAATTGTAAATATATGGTGACATGACTTTACCTTCTTAGTTCTGTCATGAGAAAAAAATAGGCTTGATTATGGAATGGTCGAAATTTGTTCCAAAGTACCTTTTTGCGCTAGTTTGGACAAGTATGAAGATCGGAAATATAGGAAATAGGTTGTCATCATGAATTTTCCATAATTTCATTATAATCTGCGTAAGATGCCGTTTTACACAGAATCCATATAGCAGGTTTTGTGCAGATTTTGACATTTTCAGCTAGTTATTTTGGGGTTTTGATCCTTTAAGACTGATTTAAAATAAAATGTCATTTGAGGACTATACACAAGAACTCACGAAAAATACACACTGCTGGGAAAATGAACTGTCAAACCAATATTTGAAAGCGACAATTTTGAATGCAAAATGATTCAAATTTGTAAAAATTGTTGAAAAACGCAATAAAAAAATATATTTATATTAGGGGATATAATTGGTTTTTTTATGTTAAATATAACATTTATTTTATATAATATAATATATATTATAAAATTGCAAAATTTATCTATTATAAAATTGCAAAATTAATAGATTTTTGCAGGTTTTGGAACAGAGCAATTTTTACCGAACTAATATTGAGCACTAGTTCGATGTGTTGACAGACGTTAATTACAGTTGGGGTTGTCCTTACGCCGTTAAGTGTTTTGCCGTGCTACGAGTTCATTACAGAAAAAGTCAAAATAGTACAATAATTTATAATTATATTAAATGTAAATTGTTTATAAATGTATTTAGTGGACAATTATAATACTATACAACAATTTTTATCGCAATACATCCCTTCAATAGTAATTTTACATGCTGCGCTATGACACACGAAGCGAAATTTGACGCCGTTAATACAAACAAAATCTAGCCAAGCAAAGTGATTACCATCGGCGTTAGTTTCACGGCTTGGATTTTAATAAAACTCCACTGGCTTTGGTCACATTGAAAAAAGTGCATGTTTTCAATTTATTGTCACACGAACTGAAGAAGTTGTTGTGTACGGACGTGTCTTTTAATTAATTTCGTGTGTTTGTGCAAAAAAGTTATTAAAAAATATAATTAAAAATGAGTAGCTACAGAAATCCTCGCGGTGGCAGACGTCCCATGCAAGCTAAACCATTTATAAGTGCTGATACCGGGGTAAGAGTGCACCTATACTATATATAATTTAGAATATACTAAGAAAAATAGGTATTGCGAAATAATATACGATCCTCACATGGAAAAACAAATTTTAATTAGTCATTTCTTTTTTTATGATTTTTTTTTTGCAGCGAAAAAGTCTGTTTATGGTTAAAAAAACATGAGAAAAGTAAAACCAAATTCTTAGACTTTTTTGCAATAATCTTTACAAGCGCTAACATTTTTATGTATACTAGTGGGTTTCTATAACCAGAGAAAGGGAGGTTCTAGAGAGCTAGCAGAAAATCCCAATTGATTTTTGTGTGTATTGTCCTAAAAACTTCCTTTTACTCGGTTATGTAAACTTAACACAGAGAAAAAAAGACACAAAATTGTGCCACAGCAGTGTGTCGTGTGGGTTTATATGTGCCAGCTATTTATTATTTGGGTATGAAATCTTAGCGCTTTTGTGAATGATTATTGAAAAACGTTCTATGTGAACAATTGCTTAAATTATTAGTTTTGTGTGACATAGTTATGTACATTTTATTGTTGCTTTATGCTCAAACGTCAAATATTGTAAATGGTGGAAAACAAAAAAATGGTTAGAAATAATGGATATTTTGCACAGAATCATCGCATCCCATCATACACCACGTAATAAAGGCAAGGGAACATGAGTTGTTTTATTTCTTTTTTTTTTCCTAAAATGCACTGCCATATTTTTTTACCAGCAAAATATTGTTTGCGAGAAGAGAGAGAGAGAGGGAAAAAAAGAGGTTATTTGCCGGTATACACAATTGTTTCCGTCCTCACTTCGTTTGTTGTTTCCTTTAAATGAAACCGGTTATTCTTTGTAAAAATTGTGAAATAAATATATTTTTTGTTGTTGTATGAAATGAAACTCATAACATTAGTCATTAATTTCTTTTATCGGTATAGATGAGGGAGAATCTAAACATTATGGCAGGTTTTATTTCGCCTTTCTGAGTGTGTATGCATGCGTTCTTTTTGTGTATGTATCCATAGTTTGACTGGGGTTAATTTATTGGCATCCTGCAATTTGTAAAGTTGGGGTGGAGTAGGAAATCATCCCCCTATATTCGTATGTCTGCGAGACCAATAAATGCCCACGCCATTAAGGTCATGCTGCTGTCGAGCCGGCCTGGCTAGCAAGCAAATGAAACAAATTACAAGCAAAGCAGCACTACATTGCATGTTTGTGTTCATCCAGCATTGTAATTATTTCATTTCTTGTTATTTTTCATCTAAATATGTTTCCTTGGTTATCCTTTTATCAGCTACTTACTACGTATATCCTTCACAATTTATCGGCAATGGTGCCGCGACTTTCTCTACAGGAAACTATTCTACATGGCTTTTCATGCTTTTATTTTTAACAAAGAGAGCAGATTTAACCAAGCAAACACATTTAGTTGAAAAAAATAAAATGTAATGTTTTGAAAAACGTTTGGGTTTTTAGCTGTAGAAATGTCCATAGCTATTGCTAAACTAAAGTTTTAGTATGCCTAAAAAGAGAGAAAGTGGTGACGAACAAACCAGCGATGATGACGATAATGGACTGTGAGTGGTGGAGGGATTGGCACAATGTATAATTGTTGGTGTCCTCCAGATAAGAACATATAACGACATCACATCCGTGAATTGTTGTCATCAAGGTTATCGAAGATGTACGGCGATCGCATACTATAATGGTGTTCATAATTTGTGTGTTTATTGGGTAATTTTTTGAATATAATTATTTTTAAGTTAATTACCTCTTTTTACAACAATAACAAAAACACCTTGCCTACAAGCAATTTAGTAATATCTAAAACCCCCTCTGATTTAATGTTTGTAAAATTCAGGAACAATATAACACACCCGTTAAAGCACCACCAGTACAGCAACCGCCACCTGCACCAACCCCAGTTCCCGCACCGGTGCAACAGCCACAAGTATTTGAAAATACTGAAAATCCCGAGGGGAATCCTTTCAAGGACAATGATTCTGAATTGAATGTGTCGGGTTTGGTTGATGAAAATGGCAAAGTTAAATTCAAGAAAATATTTGCTGTTCGCAAGAAGGCTTCAGGTAAGCAGACATCAGAACCTTTGAACCACAGAATGCAATACATTCATACATATTTTTTTTCCTCCTCCTCCTTAGTTCGTGCCAAGGAGAAGCGTATTCGCCAAAATCGTCGTTTACGCAAAACACTGGTGCCCAAAAATGCTCTCATGGCTCTGAATGAATTGAAAGGAGTTTCTGTGGGCGATTTTGTCATTAACTCCAATCCCAATGGCGGTTTCATTGCTTTGGTTACATGTAACAATAACCAATATGAAGGACATGGCATATCCAAAACAGCAGCCAAGAATAGTGCCTGTGAAAAGGCTTTGCGTGATTATATCATTGCTAAAATGCGTGAGAGACCACGTAAAATGTCAAATGGCAACAATGCCAATGCCATGGATACCAGCGAGGGTAATGATACCAGTGGTGACGGCAATGATGCTGTCAATGAGGAAGCTGAGGATGTACCGATGGTAAACCTGGCTTCGTTTGCCATTTACAAGCTATTTTCGGAATGGGAAAATGAGGGATTCATTATTCCCGAAATGCATCCTGCATCGGCGGCTGCTGCCAGTGGCAATATTAGTGACAACGAAAGCATGGCTGGTGTCAAGGAACCCAAAAAGCCACCAATTCGTACCGAATTGCCACCAAATTGGGAAGCAATGCACCCTGCTTCGTTGTTGTGTTTCGTAAGTTTCATTTGAAACTCAGTTTCTCACCTTAGACAAATTTTTAATTCTTCTTTCTATTTTACAGATGCGTCCCGGTGTTACATACACAGATAAGGGCACAACTGGCGAAAAGCCAAACATTTTGCACACTTTGGCCATAACAGTTGACAATCAAGAGTTTGAGGCATGTGGCCGTTCTAAGAAAATTGCCCGTCGTAATGTTGCGGCAATTGCTTGTAATACATTATTTGACACAAACTTTGATGAAGAAATGAAAACTGAATAAATCCCCATCATCTTAGTTCGTAGGCATTTTTAGACATAAAAAAGAACAACAACCCCCCCTCAACACACAGACACACACATCCTAGTTCATATAAAAAATACATTACGGTAGACGATTCTCAAAAAACTGTATTTTTAGTTTTAGTTTATATATTTCTATGTCTATATGTGACAATGGCAAATTTCCTTTTGGCTTTTTCCCTTCTCTACACATGGATTAAATAAAACAAGGAGATATGTAAAGACAACTTGGATTAAGAACTCTAATTTTATTTTTGTTTTATTACTTTTGTAACTACAACTATATAAGACTCCAATGCCTTTGAAATTGATCGTTTTTAGGCAGGAACATGGTTTCCGGCTTCTCAAATGCTAAAGCGTACTGCTGCTTTGATTTTTTGTTGCTCGTCGTCGTCTCCTCTTCAAATATCTGAAAACAAAAATTAACGTATTAGATTGAAATAGAAGTCAAGCTCAGGTTCATCAAATTTACGTTTGATTTGGTACCACCTAATGCTAGCTTATTTCGGTTCTAGGAATGTGTTCTTCACCCTTAGCTACCAAGTATTTATTTATTATTCATCTCAGAATGGAGAGAGGCGAGGTGTCTCACCCGGAGGTGTAAGAATGCCAAACTGATTTAGTTTGGTCTACATTTTTCAGAATTTAGAGAATTACACTGCACTTGGTAAATTCTAAAATCCAGAATTATTCTTATTATACCCTCCACTATAGTGTATTAAGTTTGTCATTCCGCTTGTAACACCTCGAAATATACATTTTAGACCCCAGAAGCACATATATTCTTGATCAGCATAAAATTCTATTTCGATTTAGCGGTGTCCATCCGTCTATCCGAACGAATTGAGGTAGATTGATAAAATTCTACTTTTTGTATTGAAACTGGGCCATGTTGGTCATCGTTTTGGTATAGTCCCCATATAACGGTACCTCCCGATATTCGGTATTTTGATGATCTTGGTGACATTATTCGCCGGAATTGTTTCAAATTTGCTATTTGAAGTTCGTAATGGATACTACAGCCTAAGACAGAAAGTTGTCTGCGCAAGTCCACCTCTTTGTATAGCCCCCATATAACGATACCTCCCGATATTTGGTATTGTCATGATTTTAGCTACATTTTTTTTAAGTTAAGCATTTGAATATTGTAATAGCTTATGGCTGTAGTTACCATTACAGGTATATGTCGTCATATAGACCCTAATATAACAGCTACATTCAATATTTTTAAGATTTTAACAGAATTTTTAACGGATTCTATTGTTTTTGAGGATTGCCGAATTCGTTCCAAATGGTGGAGGATATTTAAAGTTTAGAATTCATATTGTGGAAAAGGGTTTAAATAGTATTGTTTTAGAGGGGCCAAGCGTTTTTTGGCATTCGGAACCTAAAGCATATAATACTGGATATGTGGCAAAATACCAAGTGTGAACATGCTGCGACTTGCAGCCATCATCGAAAGAATTGAACGAATTTGGCACTAAATACATAAATGATTATAGACATTGAAAGACCAATATTCTAGTTATGGATGCCTTGCAGAATTGGAAGGTGGACTTGACATAAATTATTTTAGCTGGATAATGATTCAGATAAAGCATTTAACTTGGGAAGTTGTGCCATCTTACTTCCTCATCTCTTTTTCGTTATGATGTTTAGAAAAGAAAAAAAATCTTCCAATCTGGATGTCCATATCCCATCTTAGGACTGACTCAGGTTTGAATTTGCTCCTTACTATTGTTGCTAGCTATGTCCCAAAAGCAACCATATTTGCAATATATAATAAACTTACATCGTCTTCCTTGATTTCCAATATTTCGGACAAGTCCCATTCTTTCTTTGGCAATGGCTGGGATATGAATCGTGCTGCTGTGGCTACTGAGGGTATTGCGTGTTTCTGCAAGGCCACAATTTCCCACAAAGAACTGTCAATGGCATTTGATTTAATTGGATCACTTTCATGCATATTGAACGGGTCGGTGGATACTGTGGACAATAGAAAATTAAAAAAAAATCTCATCAAAACATAAATATAAATAGTAGAAAATGAGACAAATACCTTCAGTGGCCTGTGTTGCGCAGATTAAGCGTTTCAAGCCCAAATGTCGTAACAATAAGTTACCTATGAACTGTAGCATAATTACAGTATCCTGAGGTGGCGCAATCAAACTCAAGCGAGCTAAACGTTTCATAAATGCAGCTACCAGATTTTCTGGCAAATGTGTGGACGACAGAAATATATCGGCCAAATAGAAAAGACGCGCTTTATATTTGGTATGGAAAATTTCTGGCTCAAACATGGAATATAGTTTTTCATAAACATTTGGATAAGTTATATTGTGTTTCTGTATTAGGGTGAAAACTCCCTGCAGTGCGAGAAGAGACACAGCTCCACCTAAATAAAATAAAATTGTATAGAATTGAGGCAGGTGATTCCTTGCACGACGTTATTCATACATACCACAGTCTAAAGAATCCATTAGAAAATCTGTTAATAATACAGGTCTTTCCAAATGAGGCAACACACATTCCAGTAAAACAATTAACATTTGCCGGTGTACCGATTCCGCCAGATTTGGTTCCAACCATGTCATAATATTATTCCAAATACGATTAATGTGTTTACGTGTATTGGCATAATCAAAATGTTCCGTCTCCGGTGCATTTTCTGTTAATGCTACCAGCAATTTGGCGTTATCTTGTACAGATTTATTCAATGGTATGGCATTTATTAAATGCAGACAATTGATGGCCACATTTTCAGTTTGTGTCATGGACTTTTTAACCATTGATGACAATATAAACCAACAATTCTGTACAACATCCAAGTATTCGGCAAATTCTTTGAAACTTGAAATCAGTGTTGGCATTAGACGATTTTCGCTTAAGAGTTTTTCTATAATGCCGCGCAAACGTTTACGGGGAAAATTCAATGGTTCTTCGCTCACATTTATGGGATATTTTCCTTCCGCTGCAAGCAATTTCATACAGCAGCTCAATGCTTGTGAAGCATCTTGAGATTTTTCACAATTTTCAATAGCACTTAACATCAGATTCCATGTTTGTTCATATCGTTCACGCAACCAATCACGATATTTTGTCTCGGCCTCAGATTCCGATTCCTGTTTATTGGCTGAAACAAACATTTCCTTCCTTTTTAATAGCTGGGTAAAGACCACTTCTAGCGTCAGAAGTGCTGGTGTAAGGGATTCTTTGTGTTTGATTGCATTCTGTAATAAAAAGAATAACGTGTGTCAAAGTTGGATTTATTATCCATTAAAATTATTTTGTGACCCAACTTACATCTAAAAATTGAATGATTTCCTCCAAGTTCTTTGATTTTACTTTACTGTTGAGAAAATCATTGGCCTTCGCCCTAAGACCCTTAGATATTTTGCTCTTAAGATTAGTAGCAGGGGGTGTCTCGATTGGAGCCATTATTGGAGTATATTTACTGTAGGTTTATGAATTTTAAAATTTTACAATATATTAAACTGAGCCTAAATGAAAACAATGCCATGTGAAGAAGGTAAACACATGTATTTTGTTGGGTAAAATTTTTCACCACATCTGATAACAATAGGTTTACACTAAACTATTTTATAGGAAAGGTTCACTGCAAAGAGATTAAAACATATTAAATTAAATTTTTTTAGTACTTTTTCAGAGGCAATAATGCAAGCCACACACGAAGCAACTGGTTGTACAACTTGGAGAGGTTGTATTCAAGATTGTACCGTTTGTGGCCTAGTAATACGAAGTTGTGTCTCGGTTGTACAAAAAATCAAAATTTTTTAATATTTGGCATGTTGTACCAGCCGACTGTAATGTTTGTGGGTATGTCGCATACAATTTCATTTTGTGTTAATTTTCAAAGAGGCAACACCATTGTTCCGCACATCAAAACAACACGAATTCCAATCAAATATGTGATTTCAATGAAAATATAAAATAGAACAGTGTTTGGCTTGCTTGTTTGGGATACCATAGTATTTTGTTGTTGCAAAATCGTCAGGCAAAATCCCATTATTGTTGTTTTTATAAAAACAACGTTTGTTTATGAGTGGAGAACGATGGTAATGTTTACCAGGGGTAAGGCAGGGAATACCTAGGTTTCGGAAAGAGCCACCAATCCTCATCAGTTCCCTTGTTTCTTGTCTGGGATATTCTCCCCAGAAGTTATTTTAAAAAATAACTTCTATGACAAAAAACATTTTTTACCCAAGTGACGTGATCGTAAGCTCGATAGAAGAGGAACAAAAGAATTACATAAAACGAAAATTCTTTTGGAAAATCTTCTAAATCTTACAACCGCACTTATAAACATTTACATCTTTCTTTTTTTATTTAAATAAATTTGGCAAATATTATCAATATAAAATTTGACAATATAAATTCAGTAAACTTTACGTTAAAGCATAAAGGACAGATGATCTAACCTTTTGCTAATCGCGCAGTTCATACTTAAATGAAACTTGTAATGATGGGAAGAAAACTATTTATGTGTCCGACAACATCATTTTCTTATCGATAAGAAAGATGTGACAACCGGCCTATATATACTATAATGGGATGTAATGTAAACGTATAATGATTGCTGCACGAAAATTTGTCAAATGAGAGCTCCAATCATTTTACGTCACGTAACGAATAATCGACTGTTATATGAGCTAACATATGTTTGCATGTGTTTGTGGTGAGTATAAATCAGAGACATTTAACACATTCTTGTAGAGAAGTAAACAAGCCTTCGGTCGCTGTAAATATTTTTAAACATAAATATCACATAAATTCCTAAATTGTGAGAATTTTAAGGATATAATATCAACTGCTGCTTACAAATGACATAAGATTTAATTGGCTCCCGTACAGTTTATATTTACCTCTCAATACTAGGGAATACCAGTGACACCACCGGACACATGTGAGATACTTTCAAAACAAATTCTTGGCCACATACTAAACTAAAGAGGAAATACTATGACTTCTACTTCCTTTGAACCTGTGCTAACAAAAGCCGCCATAGCTTTAAAAAACAAACAAAAGAATGAATTTAAAGCTTTGGTATTCGAGGAACCCAAGCCCACAAAGCCAGAAGATATGTTGCCGTCGCTCACAGTCTCTAGCAAAAGGAAATCTAAATCCAATGACAAGGAAACAACACCAGATGAAAATGAATTTGATATTAAAAAAGCGCGTCATGAAATCTTAAATTTTGCCATGAATAATCAACGTGTCCAAAAAAATCAAAAGAAAATGAAAATTTTCCAAATGGTTCAATTGGGTGCGAAACACAAAAAGAACTATAAGAACTACAAGGAGCTGTTGGATGAAAAACGTCGCCTCAAAGAAATACGTGAGGAACGCAAAAAATTCCATCAGTTGGGTAAAAATCAGACGGGTGCCGCTTCTGTAAAATGCCGTAGCAAAACGAAAATCGAAAAGCAAGCCAAGAAACGTGCACCTGTATCGGCTATAGACCAACACTATGGTAAAGTTAATCCCAAACTGAAGAAAAGAAAATGAATAAAAGTGAAAAACAAAAAATTTTCGTTTTACTAAAATAACGCTTAGAGAAATTTAATATGCAATCATTTGTTGTTCAAAGAAAATTTCTTTTCAATATGTTTCAAATGATTCCATCTAAAGTGGCAATACAATTGGTCTGTTCCAGAAACTGCAAGAATCTACTAGTTTTACAATATTTTTCGATATCATAAATAATCAATCAATCAATTATCTTAGCCAAAAAAATTACATTTTTGCATGTCTGAAAAAGACCAAACGTTTGGAATAATTCGATTGCATATCTCTTGAAGATGGAATGAAGAATTTATTAAATACCCCTTTAGAGTTGATAGGCTAAATCTCAGGATAAACACCTCAAGTCGATTCATGCCAATTGCGAGCTGTTGGTATTATTTAATTACACCTCCTAAGAGTCATAGTAGAATGAGGAGGTAGAACAGCTTCGTAAAACTACAGAAATGCAGCACAAAGGCTGTTTTCATTTTTCAAAACCTAAAATACATACACAAAATTGGCAGAAGTCTATCCTACTTTTTTTATTGTACAATGCTAAGAACTTTTTAAACCATACAATGGAATAATGAAAATGTATTTTGACAAAGAGATGTCAAAGTATAATTTTGAAAAAAAAAATGTAAACATATGATTGCTTCACTTTACATCAACGCATTGTAATGTCAGATTTTTTAAATGCTTTCTTTTAATTTAAATTAGTTTGCTATACGACGCATGGTAGAAGAATATAGGTAGACGCGTCGACACAGCTGCTTGGACAATGAACTGTCAAACCAATTTTGGAATTGAAAATGTTGAATGAAAAATTATTTAAATTTGTAAAAATTGTTGAAAAACGCGAATTATAATAGTATAAGAAAGCATATAAAAATCTACTTATATTTGAAAACACATTTAAATTTCTTTGACATACCAATGCTCCCAAGCGTTGATGCATCTACCTGTATTCTTCTGCCATGATACGACGCCAATCAGAGTTTGTTTTTCAACAATTTTTACAAATTTCAGTAATTTTCATTCAAAATTTTCAATTCTAAAATTGATTTGACAGTTCCATGGTAGAAGAATATAGGTAGATGCATTAACGCTTAGGAACATTGATATGTCAAAAAATTTTAAATGTTCTTTCAAATATAAGTAGATTATTATATGTTTTCTTATAGGGCGTCATTTGGAGGTTATTATAATTTGCGTTTTTCAAAAATTTTTACAAATTTACATAATTTTTTCATTCAAAATTTTCAATTCCAAAATTGGTTTGACAGTTCATTGTCCCAGCAGCAGTGTCGAAGCGTCTACCTATATTGTACCATGGGTTTTGGGTCATATTTATGAAAGAACCTTTCATTTTCGCGCTATTTAAAAACATAGAAAAATATTAAATGAAAACAAATTGTTGCATACAATTCTGAATATTTCTGATGGGAATATGCCTTCAGATTTCCTAATCTCATCTCATGGTAGAAGAATATAGGTAGACGCATCGACACAGCTGCTGGGCCAATGAACTGTCAAACGAATTTTGGAATTGAAAATGTTGAATGAAAAATTATTTACATTTGTACAAATTGTTGAAAAAGGTCTTTTATAATAACCTCCGAATGACGTCGTATAAGAAAACATATAAAAATCTACTTATATTTGAAAAAATTTTTTTTTTTTTGACACGTCAATGCTCCCAAGCGTTGATGCATCTACCTGTATTTTTCTACCATGTCTCGTCTATTAGAATTAATGTTCCGTTTAGATCTAGTAGGTATTACCAGTTTTTAGACCCTGGGTTCTATGAAAATGTGAAGCGAACACTTTTATAAAGGAAAGAAATGTCAAATGAAAAATTTTATAAAGAAAATTTTTTTCATTTCATATTTTCATAGAACAAGAATTCAGCACCTAGTCTGCCCACTTTTTTACTATGCTAAATAATACGCTTTACGAAAAAATTTTGCCAATAGCCTCAATTACAGCCATCTAAACATCATATAACTATACTGTACAAAGTTGTATTTTACGGCCATATGATTTATGCTGTTGAACTATTTGTGTACTGCAGACTTTTTGTGGTTACGTGATTTTGGAAGCACTCAAAGAAACCGCAGAAAAAATGTTGCGAAACGTTCGTTCCTGCAATTCTCTTTTGGCTCGTTGCTACTCCCAGGGGGCTGGAGCTGCAAAACCAACTGGTAGCAGCGCAGCAGGCACAACCCCCAATGTGACTGGTCTAAGCTCCAATTGTGTGAAGCCCACAACCGGACCAGTTGGTTTTATGGGCGCTTCAGCTGATAATCCACATTACAAAGTTCCAGAATATTTCTCCTTCAATCGTTTCTCCTACCACGAAGCAGAAGTTGAAATGGCCAAATATCGTTGTCCTCAACCATCCGCATTGAAAAAGAACTAAACGCAGTTACAGTTTGTTAAAGCTTTAAATAAATTAAAAGAAAAATAACACACAATGTGAAAAAGAAATAATATTCTTTTATTTGTTATTGTTGGTGAGAGTGCATGTGTGTGCAAAAAATATTTATTTATGAATAATGGTAAAATTTACAAATAAAAAATAATTTTTAAACTATCATTTCTAATTCGCGAGCATAGAATATGGCTTGCTCGGCCAATTCTACAGAGGGTAGCACTTCTTTGGGTTTGACCGATTTGTCAACAAAATTATAGACACCGCCCGCATCCAATTGCCAGTTGCGCTTAACGCCAAAGTTTTTGACTTCCTCCACAGTTTTAAGATTTAGCCTCTTTGCAGCATCTTGCACGGAAATTTTGTCATAGGCCTTTTCAATGCAACCGGCAATTTCATCACGCACGGTACATAACAAAATATCCATGAAATAGCAATAGATTTCGGATGGAACAGAGCTCTGGAATAACACATTGGATAATTTACATTTGGTTGTCTCAATAATGATAATATACTTGATGTTATTACCTTGGCTTGAAAGATCTTATTATAACGTCCTTCCATAATGTACTGCTCTAAAGCTAGAACGGGTCCAATGTATTTGTTGGTGTGTATAATTTCCGCCGACAATAGTTCCAGTTCAGTGTGGAACTCCGACACTCTGTTCACCGACAGCAAATACAAAAGATTCAATCCAAGTAATTTAAACATATTTTCCGATTCGCCAATTTGTTTTCTAAAATAAAATTATTTTTTATAAAAATTTTACTCAAAAATTTATTCAAGGAGAACAATTGGAATAAGTAGACTGTAACTCAGACGACTATGAAGGTCTTGTTTCCTTGGAAATAAAAATATATCAAAGCAAGTCAGCTTTATAATCAAACTCTGCAAGCAATGTCAATTCTTTTATGGGAATATCGATTTTCTATGGAATAGCTTCTTTTATTTTAGTAACAGAATCGACAGAGGTAAGTGACAAACTTGAAAAAGTTTTGTCAGTACCAAACCAGTCCTGACCGTGGCAATGATTTAAGGTAGGTGGAAGGTGGCATATTTATTTCTTATATATTAAGCGACATATGTAAGAAGCTGTAGTATGTTGGACACTCCCAATACGAAAAGTAGATTTTGAAATGTTTTTGGTTATTAATAATGTGGGTGCTACATGCCGGATATTTGTACTGATTTCATAGAGTTGTTGCATCCCCACTATTGTTGCAAAAAGGCCAGTACATATGAAAACATAACTCGACTCTTTTCGTATTTTAGACACGACAGTCGTGGGATTCATGTAGTTCTACCTATTGGCTTCAGAGCGTATCCAAATATTTAACATGTCTTCCCTGACTCTTTCTACTTACTTGTAGTCATAATAATAACATTTCAATTGAGACATGTATCTTTCGAATGCCGGAATGTCTTTTGTGGCTACGCTATATTCGACAGCAATTTCCAAAACGTTACGGGACAACACCATTTCAGCCTTTGTGGATGTAACATCTTTGGTGGGCAAAAATGCCAATTTGGTAAGGGCCACCTAAAAGTAAATAAATAATTTAGAATACGTATTCCCAATAAAGGACGGAGTAGACATTTTTAGGTTAAACTCCCTTTATATGTTTTTTTTTTTTTGCACAAACTCTCACACACCTTCAATTGATCCAGCAATTGACCACATTTCTTTAAATTTTGTGGTTTTTTTGACCATTCTGTATTTAATTCTTTAAATAAAGTTTCCACACCCTGCAATTGAGACATTTTTACTTCACAATAATTATTATATTTCTTATGTTGCCTCGGCAAAGATGATTTGCAAATCCAATAGTTCTGTTTTGTTTGGTGTTTCTTTTTTTTGTTGGGGTTTATGCACTCTCTTTAGGCTCTCAGTTCGTCTGTTGCTCTCTGATGTTTTTCTACCGTCATGATTGTTTACATTTTCTGACAGCTGTCAATGTGACATTTCATATGGGCCGCCATTTTTGCCAATTTGATGCTGTCAAAATGACGCCATTTTCATTTTTCTCTTCTGTCACACAAAATAAATTGCTGCCTGCCGTACAATTTCCAAAGCGTTGGTCGTCGTTCGTTTACGTTGCAATTTAATAATATTTGTGCTGACAAATATGGAAATAATTGGAAAAATTACTAGCAAAATATAAAAAGAAGGCTAGTTGTGAAATAATTTAAAGCAAGTAGTGATTTTAAGTGACATTTGATGTGAAGAACGAGCATAGTGTCAAAGACGACGAAAGTAAAACAACTGAAAATATTATTAGCTGTACCCCATCATTCGTCGTTGTAGTCGTATCGTTTGTCCGCCTATATGTACCTTTTTTCCTGTTTGTTAAATTCGGAAAATTCAGTTCATGACAACGTTGGAGTGCACATTTGAACTATAGTTTTTCTTCTAAATTATCAAAAGTAAGTGAATTTATTTTCATTTCTTGTGATGTGTTGAAATGCTGTGAGAATTCCGCGCAATAGATATTTTGTTTGTAGACGACGTATTCGTATGCAGCCCTGCACACAGGCTTGTACGTACATAACAAGATTATGTGTTGCTCTTGCTGCTGCTGGTTGTGGGCTCTATCAGTACAGTAAATCACAAAAAAATATATCAAAGGCTTTTGTTTGAATGCAACATTTTTGGAAAATAACACAAAAATTAAGAATTGTAGATCGGTAAAATACATTATTTATTTTGCTGCGGGAGGTGTAAAACTCCCGCCAATTTTTGGGGTCTAACTGTGTTGCCAGATCGATATTTTTGGTAGCAAACATTACATGAGGGTATTTCTTGAGTAAATTAATCTAACAGCCAAGTAGGCGGGCCATCAATTTGGTTACTGGTCCTGAGAGCATTCCCAAACATTAGTGTACTCCATCGTAAGGCAGAGGTGGTACCACATGTATAACAAAAAATGAAATCTAATATTTTTTGGAGCTTAAATAATTTGTTCTTCTCTCTATTTCAGATCATATTTTATGATTTTCCCAGATGTGAAAAATGCGTTGTGGAAAAAAATTGAATAAGACGACGACGGACATAAAGAAAACTCGATCCTGTGTAGTTCGTTTAGAGAAGTTATCTCACGAATCTTTCTCCCCAAACACATCGCCAACAAACACTTCCAGAAGATCTCTTAATTCATTGACAAAGCAACAATCTAGAAACAACAAACGTGATTCCCAAACAACTGAAACCCCTGGCATGGGAGCAACTCCCAAACAATTGACAGCAGGAGCAGCAGCGGCACAATCAAGAGAGGGTAAAACAATTAAAGGAGGTCCCATTAAGAAAAGAATAACAAGCAATATTCTACAAACTACCCCACAACAAAAACAATCAGCAAATATGTCGACGATACGCTCAAGTCAAAAAATCAAATCGGTACCGAAAGCTGTCAATAGAAGTAACACCAGAGTAGCAACGCCAGCTTCCAAAGCGGCAACGCCAGCCAGAGATGAAACTCCAACCCCTACTATTGCCGCCGGACGATCACGTCGGGCCATAAAACCTAATCCAAAATATGCTAGTGAAGATATGGTAACACCCAAAATGGTACGCAATGTGGGGGTCACACATGCTTCTTCGGCCAAATCTCAAGCTACAGCCGATTCCAAGAGACGTAAAAATTCCACTTCTTCAGATGATTTTTACAATCGAAATTCAGAGGATGAATATGAAGAAGATGGTGCTCATAATTTACACGATGATGTGAAGGGCGACAAAGCATACAAAGTCGACGAAAAGGAAGAGTCTCTGGAGTCGGATATCTCCGAGCTAGAGGAGGAGGTATCAAAGCGTTCTGCCAAAACAAGGGGAAGGCCCCGTAGGTCAGATATTCAAACAGGGCCACAACAAAGTAATGCTACGAACAAATCCAGCAATCAACAGCAAACACCCGGTGGCAATATCAGAAGGTTGATTCAAACGCCCGGTTCCACGGTGAGAACTGCTCCGACGCAACTGCAACAATTACGTCGTTCCCTACAATCGGCAAATGCTCAACGTAATCAGAATCTACTGGCCGGCAGTGGTAGTGGCGCTCAGAAGCGTAAACTGGCGGCAGTAACAGATCCTAACGATAGTGATAGCGATGATGGAGGAACATATACCGTAGCTCGCAAGCAAATGCTGGTTACCACCTCATCAGGGCTTAAATTACGAATGCCGGTCAAAGAAAATTCATCAGCCTCCAATACACAAGCTGCAAGTAAACCTAGGATTGTGACTGGTCAAAAAATTGTTGGCAACAGTGAATCACGTTTGTCACTAAACGGTGGAAACCGCTCCCTACACACACAGCTAATTGATAGAAAGCGAATAATAGAATCCAATAAAATATCCAACGATGCGGGAAACAGCAGGACGAATATGAAAATTGTAACCAACAAACAAAATCAACAGACTGCATCAGGAGTGGGAAACAAACCCAGATCTGTTACAAATGCACAAACAGTCAGTGTCCATCAAAAAAATATACTTGGTTCGGGGGTTACTAATATAACCAGAGTGCCACGTACCAGTTCTCCAAAACCATTCTCGAGAAAGGAAGCTGCTGCCAACAGCAGTACAACAAAAAATAACAATTCAGCAACACACGGCTCATCATCTTCCTCTGGTCCAGGATCTTCGCAGTCGCAACAAAGAAAATTAGCTGGTGGTCCTGGAACAAAACCAATTGATAAGCTCAAATCTGCATTGGCATCATCAGTGACCACTGCATCTCCTGCTTCATTATCACATACAAAGGCATCGCAAAGCAACAAGACCACGACATCGCCCATAGCCCAAGCACAATCTAGTGGTAATGCAGCAGCAACATCCGCCTCAGTGTCAACACCCACAGATGAAGATAATAATGAAATGGCAGCAAATGATGACTCTCCAAACTCGACCATGGACGATTTTGAGACGATGCCCACATTTACCATAGTCAATGTTAATGATATCATCAACAAAAAAGGAGATGTCTTGATAACGAAAGCCAACAAAAATAGCGCATCGAAACCAGCGGTTTTAGAATTAACAGAAAGTATTAGCCTGGTTGATGACGAAGATGATGTTGGTGATGGTGATGGCGACGACGAGGATGAAGATAATGATGCAGTAAATAAAAGTATTCGAGGGAATAACAACAGAAGGCAAACATCTCTGAAAGTTCCGGGAAAACTTAAAAAACCATCGCCAGCACAAAACAACAAAGCTTCTGGAGAACAAAGAAAGAGGTTGCCTTTGGCGCGCAGTACTGGAAACGATGATGATACCCCGTTAACGGTGAACAAACAAATAAGGACAGTTGCCAAGCCGTCGCCGCCCGCTCCCAGGACTCACACAAATGCCAAACCACAAATACTTAATCATAGATTAGGTATGAGAAATAATGCTCGCGTTACAGCAAAGATGAGTAGCACAACCACATCTTCCAATCCAGATAAGCCTGCACCACGTATCCTGAACTCAGTTGTGGCCAAAAAGACTCAACCCGTGAAACCAATGATAACTAATCTGGATGATTCGGCAGAAGAAAGTTTCCCTCTCTCGTTGGATGAAGAAGAAACCGAAGATGAAGCTGAAAGCCAACAGAATGCCCCTGACAATGATAGCGCTAATTATCCTCTAATGGATATAGATGACAACGAAGATACCGAATCGCAAAACTCAGATCGTGAGGAGGAGCCTGTAACAACAACAAAAGCTTTAACGCCTAGAGACCAACAACTGAATGCTGCTTCAAGAAATACCACCACAAAAAAATCACCCTCACCAGCCCAGAGAAAAAAGCGCCTGCCACAGAATACTCAAACATCGCCGGTTGCGGTGACCAGTAACAAGAAACGGATATTGACACCAATTGCAGCGAAAGAAAATTCATTGGCTGCCACCAATCAACAGGTTGGTGACACTAAAGCTCCTTCTTCCCTCGTTACACCTCAGACGCGTAAACAACCCCCCGAGAAAGTGGTCATATCGAAGCAGGGTGATAAAATCATTAAAAAGATAACCTGTTTCGAGACATGGTATGTTATAAACATGCCCATAGAGCCAAAACGACCAACGCTCATCAAAAATCAATTGGACATGCCGCTCATCAACTTGGCCAACAATGCCAAAAGTATACAGCTGCCAAATGATTTGTGGAATTGCAAGGTAACATTATATGAGCTCTCCGCCACAACATTGGCCAAGGGTACGTTTGTCACGTACATGGGTGATCTCGAGGAGTACAATATCGGCGAGGAGGATCGTGGCAAATATCAACCATCGTGTGTTATGTTCCGAAGGGCAATTGAAAATCGTCAGTTGTCGCGAATGCCTTATGATCGTGCTGTTATTTTCAAAAACAAAACCTTCTCCACAAATATCGAGGGGAAGAACATACGATTGGTTGGGGCGCCCAGCATTATAAATAGCGAGCGGGATATTGAGATTCTTTTGGAAATTGTCGACACTTTAACATTACAAAGTGATTTTGTGGAATATGCTACAATTCTGCAGTAAAGTCTTTGTCTTGGTTTCTAACAAAAAATACATACGTATACACTTATATCAATGGAAATGCAAAAGTGTATAGGCAGACCTGGCTAAACAAAAATAAAACCCTAGTCCTGATTATGTTTTGGGAAAACATAATCTCTTTTGCTTAGGATTTGGAAAGTATTATATGGTGGGAACATATAATTTACTTAATATGATTTGGATTTTATGAATATTAGCCTGGCAAATTGCTTGTGTGTATATTGTCTTGAGATTTAAGTATTGATGGTGTTGACTCGACGTTTCATTCACAGAAATATTCTTTATATAGGTACACATATTTATTAAAAAAAAAAAAAAAAACAAACACACATCATTTGGTCAAAATCCGATTTTGTTAAAACTGTTTTGCAGAAAAAATACAACAGAGGACGTTTTTACTTTTAGACCTTTAGCAATAAGTTTAACATTAAAATTAGGCTGTAGTCTTAAAATAATACACTTAAAGAACACACACACAAAAAAAGAGGAATATGTAATTGAATTACGTAAATATAAGAACTGTAAATTCTCTTAAACAACAACACAATCTTTGAATAATCTGTTAAAGTATGTTGACTTTGTACTATTGTAATAATTAGTAATAGATATTAACAGCAACTGTAAAAAAAAATCATAAAGCTTACATTTTTTGCAATGTAAATCAACACTTCTTTTCCTGAGCCCTCTCATGGTCATCATACATTATTCTTTTTGTAACAACATGAATCATTTCATTTTGAATGCACACAAAATTAAATTTAATAGCAACTACCTTAAAATCAGAAACAGAATTTTCTGTTCGTATAATCACTACAAACTTAGTTTTTAGACTTACGCAATAATTTAAGAATTTTAGTTTACATATTTGTGTAAATTATTACAGAAAGAAAGAAAGAAAAAATTGTTGAAAATTATTTTTATCAATTCTCATTTATTTTCACTTGCAATCGTTTTATTGACATCAGTTCTTTTATTTTTTAGTTAATATATATTAAAAATAATTTGCGTTTAGTAATATATACTGCTATATTAAAAAAAAAACTAAACTAAGAGAATATAGATTTTTAATCATCTGAAATTGTTTTTGAAGTTTTATTTCTCTGTAAAAAGTAATTTCTTTTTTCTAAATAAAGAGTTTAACGGCTAACAAAAACTATGGATTTTTCATTTTGGGTGGAAACTGGATTTATGGTAATAATCTGGCAACTTTAATCGAATACACTGTGAAAAAATATTAAAATTACATTAATGTAAAGTGTTCCGGTCACATAGCGGTTTCTGGCTGTGTTATCAATAAAAGTGGGGTACACACTATCGAACAGGTCTGATAACCATCATTCGTTTTGCTAGTCATCTTAATTTTTGTCCAAAACCCCATTAGGATCCTTCTAAACTGATTTGTAAAAACTTTGTTCACAAAAGGCTACGCAGATATTCGAAATATAAGTAACGATTTAATTCCCTAATTCCGCAATACCTGAGCAACTACGTCGCCTTTTTAAAGTTGGAAGGTCACTGAAGATACAAACATGGTATCATGGTAGAAGAATACAGGTAGTCGCATCGACCCAGCTGCAGGGACAATGAACTTTTAAATCGATTTTGATATTGAAAATCGTGAATGAAAAATTATTGAAATTTGTAAAAATTGTTTAAAAATACATATCATTACAACCTCCGATTTGCGTCGTATATAAAAACAGATAAAATCTACATCATGGTAGAAGAACATAGGTAGACGCGTCGACACAGCTGCTGGGACAATTAACTGTCAAACCATGTTTGGAATTGAAAATGTTGAATGAAAAATTATTTAAATTTGTAAAAATTGTTGAAAAAACGCGAATTATAATAGCCTCCGAATGACGTAGTATAAGAAAACATATAAAAATCTACTTATATTTGAAAAAAAAAAAAAAAACATTTAATTTTTTTGACATATCAATGCTCCCAAGCGTTGATGCATCTACCTGTATTCTTCTGCCATGATCTACATATATTCTTCTACCATGTTCAATATGCGATATATAGGGAATTTCCATTGGTGTATACCAAAAAAAAAAAAAAAACTATGTAATTGCAGACTTAAATTAAAGCCTTTGAAGAAAATGCTCAGAATTTAAGATTTGGAAATGACAATTTTAATCAACGAGATTTATTATTTTAGCGGTTTTCAATTATTTATTCAAAATCAATGCAACAAGTTGTTTGTTTTTTCTTTATTTTGATAGTAATTCTGGCATTACAAGCCAAAGTATAGAGGTTTACTTGCAATTTTTTCAAAGTTAGCCTACCTTGTCTTCATTGTACCGTGGCAATAAGCATTTTGAAAACACCCGAATTTGAATATTTTCTGAACAATTTTTTTTATTATTGAAAAGAATACACACACACACCTAAACAAATAAAGTTGACATATTAAGCCAAGAAAATAAAAAAAAAAATTAAAATAAATGGTATCAAAGTCCTACCTTGATTTTACTGTACCATGATTGTACCAAGTTACAATTTATGTTTCATAGCACAATTAAATGAAATTAACCTCATTTTAAATACTAATATCCATCGGCTGAGGCTGGATAAGAAAAGAAAACATTTTTTTAATTGTCATTTGACATTTCTTTCTTTTATTTTTGTCACATTTTTTCAGTTTTTATACGGTTGCAATTAACCTTTAACCTAACCTAATTCCTTTTTTTCCAAAAAAAAATTATTGAATTTAATGGGAATTTGTACGAAAATACATGAACTTCTCACTAATATGAATAGAAGAAATTATTGTTTTTCTCCCAAAGATTTATAATATCATTAATTTTACAATTGCCTCTTTTGTTTCCAGTGTTCTGTGGAAATTTTAACTCGTGGACAAAATGCGTACCTCGGAAGAGAGAAAACAAAATTTACTTTCGTTTCAATGTACATATGCCATGGTTCTGAGAGTGATTCGAATGGAATTCATTGTCCCAGCAGCTGTGTCAATGCGACTACTTATATTTTCTACCATGGCTCTGATTCATGGTAAAAGAATACAGGTGGTCGCATCGACACAGCTGCTGGGAAAATTGAAAGTGTTGAATGAAAAATTATTGAAATTTATGAAAATCGTTGAAAAATGCGTCTTATAACAACCTCCGATTTGCGCCATATAACAAAACATTTAAAAATCTACTTATTTTCGAAAAAAACATTTTAAAATTTTTGACATATCAATGTTTCCAAGCGTTGATGCATCTACCTATTTTCTTCTACCATGCTCTGATTCATGGTAGAAGAATATAGGTAGACGCGTCGACACAGCTGCTGGGTCGATGAACTGTCAAACCAATTTTGGAATTGAAAATGTTAAATGAAAAACTATTTAAATTTGTAAAAATTGTTGAAAAAACGCGAATTATAATAGCCTCCGAATGACATAGTATAAGAAAACATATAATAATCTACTTTTATTTGAAAAAACATTTAAGTTTTTTTGGCATATCAATGCTCCCAAGCGTTGATGCATCTACCTGTATTCTTCTGCCATGCTCTGATTGATGTATAAAACGCCGTTCACACTAGCAGATTTCAACTGTCAATTCCATTTTTATAATGCTCTAACCATGGCAGAAGAATACAGGTAGATGCATCAACGCTCGGGAGCATTGATATGTCATAAGAATTTAAATGTTTTTTGAAATATAAATAGATTTTTATATGTTTTCTTATACTACGTCATTCGGAAGCTATTATAATTTGCGTTTTTCAACAATTTTTACAAATTTTAATAATTTTTCATTTAAAATTTTCAATTCCAAAATTGGTTTGACAGTTCATTGTCCCAGCAGCTGTGTCGACTCGTCTACCCATGGTAGAAAAATACAGGTAGATGCATCAACGCTTGGGAGCATTGATATGTTAAAATTTTTTAAATTTCTTTTCAAATAAAAGTAGATTTTTATATGTTTTCTTATAAGACACAAATCGTGGGTTGTAAAGATATGCATTTTTCAACAATTTTTACAAATTTAAAAAATTTTTCATTCAACATTTTTAATTCCAAAATTGGTTTGACAGTTCATTGTCCCAGCAGCTGCGTCGATGCGTCTACCCATATTCTTCTACCATGCGTCTACCTATATTCTTCTGCCATGGCTCTAACATAAACATATTAAATGAACAATCACAATAAATTAGTTTATGCAAAACAAACGTAAAATTAATTGTGATTGATCAATAATTAGTGCGTGTTAACGCACACTAAGGGTGGACGTACATAAAAGCTTATGACATTTCATAAAGGGATTACAGAGACGCACTAAAATCCTGCCGTCGTTTTCCATTATAATTTGACATTAATATGCCTAGCTATGATTTAAAGCTTCTTATGTACTTGCACCTTAATGTTGAAAACAGAAAAAAATAAGAAACAAATTATCAGCGAACGAAAACAAACGAAACGATTAACGTACCCCTCTCACAAAGACAAACAAAAAAAATTAAAATCTTTTTGTACTCCCAACAAAACAAAACCACAAACCATGGTAGAAGGTAAAGTCATGCAATCGTATGTTTACGATTTTTTCAAATTTATGCATTCATAAATCCATTGTATACACACAAAATCAGGGATGGGAACTGTGGAAACAAAAACATGCATTGAAATTTGACAAGGTAAATTACAGAAAATGCAGAGCTGGGAATGTTGATTTGAAATGAGGTAACCTTTATTTCATTGTACCATGCCACAAACATTTCAATACCAGAAATACACAAGCAATACCATTGCCTTAATGTACTTCTACGTGTATTTCCGTGTGTATGTCATTTTACATTTTAATATATATCATATATTGCATTTTCCATGCCAAAATGAAGAAGGTAAAGTCATTTCATCCATCCCTGAATTTTCTGTAATTTACCTTGCCAAATTTCTCTGTTGTGTGTATAAGTTGTTTTGTTTATTTGACACTATTTTACAATATTTCAATTCAAGAGAAAGTCGCAAAAAATGTATTCAGCTGATTTCTATGACCTATATTTGGATTGACAAATTTATTATTTACCTTGCTGTGAAGAAAAAATTCTTATTTTTCAAAAAAATTTGCTGGATTCTCTTTTGGTTTTGTGTGTTTGTGCATACATGTCATTTAAATCCTTCTAAATGCTCTATCAGTCGATGTGTTTCTTACATATGTAATGTCAAATTTTCAATGTGTAGAAGTTGCATATATAGTATTGACGACATTTTAGTTGTGAAATCACATTTTCATCTGGAAAATATAATTTAATTGTTTATCTGTTGTGTAAAAATTTATAAAATTAAATTTGCAGTAAAAATTCTACTATTAAGTATTATAATTTAAAAAAGTCGGATACACGCAGAGCCCGTGCTACCAGCTGATAACAATTTTTTTCTTAGTGCGCTCGACTTCTGCCAATTTTGTGTATTTATTAATTTTTTTGAAAAATAAAAACAAAATATTTTCAAGATCCATAATAGGAAGAATTACCAGATGGGAAATATTAACCAGATTTACCATAGAATTGAAAGACTGAACACTTAGGATCATATTTTTGAGACAACATCCAGACACTTCATTCATCTTTCAATTCTGACAAGAAGCGGGCATATCCTCAGGGCCAGTTTTACGAAGCTGTTCTACCTTCTTATTGTACCATAGCTATGAATATCTTTTACTGAGCCTCTTGACCATGGTAGAATTAAGAAGGTAAAGTCATGCAATCATATGTTAATTTTTTTTTCAAATTTTTTCATTTGAAAACATCTCATTGTCAAAATGTTTATTTATAAATCCATTGTACATACACAAATCAGAGATGGGAACTTGCTTTCTATGCTGTGAAATTTGACAAGGTCAATTACAGAAAATGCAAAGATGCTTATTTGAAATAACTTCACCTTCTTATTTTTACCATGCTCTTGACCCTTGGCCCCAATTTCAGATCTAATATAATGGATTTATAACGTTACCTTCTCAGTTTAACCATGCTCCCACAGATATTGGGTATTCCATCATTTATATCCTCAACTTGTCTATAACTTTAGTAGTTATTATTTCCACATGTTGAGCTCTATATGGGTTAAGCCTTTCAACTTTTCCCACTATTTTGTACAAGTCATGTATTTTATTATAGCTAATGATAATTCAAGTAAAATGTTTAATTGGTTTGGCAAATACAACGTTTACTTATATTTTAAGAGGCCCAGATAAGATTTGAAAATTATACAAACAAAAATGTGAGCTATCTCAGCTGATTTAGTTGGAAAGAAACATTCGAATTGTGAGTACAATTAGCTAGACAAATCATGGGGGATGTTAAGAACGACGTCGATGTTTTAGTCTATGGTTCGGCTATTGTGGATTTTATTTGGTAAGTGCTGAAAGACATTCTCCAATATTGTACTAATTCTATTCGTTTTTAAAAGTTACGTAGATCGTTTGCCGAAGGAAGGAGAAACAATACGTGGCCACAAATTTGAGAATGGATTTGGTGGCAAGGGTGCTAACCAATGTGTTGCGGCAGCTCGACTGGGATCTAAATGTGCCTTGATAGCCAAAGTAGGCAATGATACTTGGGGCGAAAAGTACTTAGAGAATTTGCAAAAGGAGGGTGTCAATACACGTCACGCAAAAGCATGTGAGGGAAAAAGTACAGGTATAGCCCAAATAGCTGTATCAAATGATGGGGAAAACAATATCATTATTGTTACCGGTGCTAATGATTGCCTTGATGGCAGTGATGTTCATGAAGCTGGATACTTATTTGATTCCGCTCAAGTACTACTGTGCCAATTGGAGACTTCTGTTGCGGGGACTTTGGAAGCCCTAAAACGATTCAAAGGAATATCTGTACTTAATGCTGCTCCTGCTATGACAAACACTCCCAAGGAACTATTGCAATCAGCTTCAATATTATGTGTAAATGAAACTGAAGCGGCCCTAATGACACAAACTGAAGATATTAAGACATTGGAGTAAGTAGTCAATAATAAATGAGTATAATTTCATTGATTGATTTGCCAATCGAATTTCTCAAAAACAGACAAGCAAAGCTGGCAACAAAGAAGTTAATGGAAATGGGAGCAAATACCGTTATCATAACTTTAGGATCTCAAGGTGCTGTCTACTCGGAGAAAGGGAACTCTGAAAAGTGTTACCATGTGCCGGGACAAAAGGTGGATAAAGTCGTTGATACCACAGGGGCTGGTGATGCCTTTCTAGGTGCCCTAGCCTACCACATGGCAAAATATCCCGAAAAATCATTACATCAACATATTGGCTATGCCAATTTGCAAGCATCCTACTCTGTCCAATACCCCGGCACACAGTCTAGTTTTCCAAAGGCCCAAAGTTGCCCATCCACATCTCAAGAATTTCCCTATCAAGCCATTTAACTTATCTAATTGTGAGAGTACACAAAGGAAACACCTTACATTAAAATAAAACACTTTTATTAAAACACATGCTACCGGAGTTTCTAATTTTGGGTACGTTTTTTTTTAGTCAGAAGAACACCGCCAATGAGGCAGATGGCAAAATATCCCAAAAAAGATCATTGCGTCAACATAATCACGAAGTCATTGAAAGCGATTCACTCTGGAGTAAAATTCTCCCATTCAATATGGAAGAAATATCGTCTAAGATGAATTAAAGACTGATGAAAATAAAAAAAAAAAAAAAAATAATAATAGAAACAACTGAGTTTCATACTGACATTTGATATTTTGTTGTTTCTACTAATAGACATCTTTTCATACCGACTGCACACAGGTTATTTTTTGAAATAGGCCTAAAGCCGACCATCTTAAAGATATAAAGTGAACTTATTCAATGTGTAACATGTAAATGCAAATATTCTTTCATCAACCCAAGATTATAATGAACATTGTTTTGCATTGCTAGCTTGTTGCTGATGAAGCCGAATTATTGACTAAAAAAGATCGACATAATGCTTTCCCCTTGGCACAATGGTTTTCCACTAAGCAATTCAGCTTGGACCTTATCTAACATGTAAAACACAAGGAAAAATCATATTTAATGTAAAAATTAAATTAAAAAATCCTTATAATTTATTGTTAACTTGTAATAGAGTCATCCAAGGTTTCTAATTTAGTTTATTATTTTTTGCCAGACTTTTTGATGCCTCCACCAACTAGAGGACCTTTTTGTGCTGCTTTCGCCTTGGCAGCTTCCAATGCCTTCTGGGCTTCCTTTTGTTTCTGTTTGAAAGCCATGTCATCATCGTCCAATTCTCTTGACTCTTTTTTAGGTGCCTTCAAAGGCTTTTTCTTGCCTCCTTCACGACCAGACATTTTTGAAAATTAAACTATAAAACATAAACAACACAGTTAGTGAATTTTCGTTCATAGATTCTAGAAAAGTTTGCACGTTTTTGTAGACAAATATAGAAAAATACTTCACACCTACCCAATCACACGCACAGTCGACTTAACTCTGAAGAAAAATTGTACGCAGCAATCCAACAAGGCTGTACAATTTTGTACTACTTGATGGGTTCAAATGGTTTCTTTATTATTGACGTATGCCAAATTGTATAGCTCATTTACAAATTTAGTGTCAGAATCGCACTCCTTATAATTTGGTATTTCATTTGATTGATATGCTTTGCCATGGATGCAATGGATGCTTATGTCGCATTAATACTATTTAAGTTGAATTTAATTTAACAGCATTACCTAAAATTCGACTTACTCGACGTATATCAACATTAACAATTGAAAATTTTATTTTTTTGTGTGTTGAAAATAGAAAAAATTTAAATTTTTGTAATTGGAAAATATTATCAATTCTTTTAAAAGTTTTTCTTTGGTATAATCTAAGATATGGATTTGGCGCATTTGGGTAATACGGGCGTACAAAATATTTCACTATGGTGAGGAAGTTGAATATTTGTATACTATACGTCGAATTTTAAATAACGCTGCAATTGATTTGTTTTTTTCTTATTCAAATGCAAATTGTAAAGAACGCATTTGCGGAAACATTAGCTACATGGGATTGTACCATGGTAGAAGAATACAGGCAGTCGCATCAACACAGCTGCTGGGACAATGAAATATCAAACCTATTTTGGAATTGAAAATGTTGTATGGAAAAATATTGAAATTTGTAAAAATTAATGAAAAATGCATGCGATTTTGCGTCGTATAAGAAAGCATACAAAAATGTACTTATTTTGGACAAAATATTTTCAAATCTTTGACATATCAATGTTCCCAAGCTTCTATGCATCTACCTATATTGTTGTACCATAGGATTTACGGTAGTATTGATTTCTTACAAATACTGTACATAGTGATGTTTTTGTGTGAGAGGATCTCTATTTGTATGGTAAATCTGATGGAATAAAGCTGGATTAAGCAATAAATCTCGATAATGTGTTATCCGGATACAATTTTGCATCTAAAAGCGCTATAAGATTGATATATAAATACCGCTCAGCTTATGGTTGTTTGCTTAGACTTACACACTAAGTCTGCTTTGTTCCAGTACCTGCAAGAATCTACTACTTTAGCTATTTTCTTCGATATCATGAAGGGAAAATTGGTTATCGTTGTAAACAATTTTACATTCTTGCAGTTCTGGAACAGACCAAGACAATGCAAAAAAATCCAAAAATTATCTTTCAAAATCTCTAATAAAGAGGCAAACATTTTGTATCTAAACGTGCTATAAAGCAGTTGTGAAAAACTACTGAAATGCAACTTCCTGTCAGAATTATTCAAAATCCAACAAGTTGATGTATTTTAAAAGTTATGAAACATATATATATAAAAGTTATGAAGCATATTACTGTCAAATTATAAAGGGAAACGACGGCAAAATTCGAGTCCCTTTATGATATTTCACAAAATGTGCAACGCGAAGACTTCAAGCTGTTTATGTACTCTCACCTTTACATGTTCACGCTTTGATTTTAAGGCGATAATACATAAAACGCCTTTTTCACTGGCTTAAGTCATCGGCTGGCTTCATAGTAAAGGAACAATGGAGTTTTAGTTAGACCTAGTTCGCCTTTTGTTCCTTTCCGAAAAAGCCAGCCTGTGCCTTAAGCCAGTCAGAAAAGCGTTATATGTATTCTCACCTTTACTCATTTGCCATATCGCTCTGCTTTGTCATCCGTCTATCATTGTCCCAAAGAAGACACTCGTGCAACTATGCATGGATCTAGCGTTTTATGTACACACTAATGAAAGTTCAATAGGCATAGTAAAATTCAGAAGATAAAGTCATTTCAAATAAACATTCCCCTCTTTTCATTTTTTGTAACTTAGCTTGTAAAATTTCACTGGATGATTTGTGTATGTACAATGGATTTATAAATATACATTTTGACAATCAAATGTTGTGAAATGAATAATTTAAAAAAAAGAAACCTAATGCAAGCCACACACGATACAACCTGGAGGGTTGTCAAGTTGTATGCTTCGGCCACAATCGATACAACTTTGTATGCAACCTCTTTGTACAACTTCACTTTTCGAAGAGTTCATTTGAGTTAAGATGACACCGGAAATAATTTCGTGCTCTATAATTTACTTAATAGCCTTTATTCATTATTAATTTTTGAAATTCCGTTTTATATATATATTTTTTTGTTTTATATTTTCATTAAAATCACACATTTGATTGGATTTCGTGTTGTTTTGATGTACGAAACAATGTTGTTGCCTCTTTGAAAATAAACACAAAATGAAATTGTATGCGACATGCCCACAAACATTACAATCGGTTGGTACAACATGCCAAATATCAAAAAATTTTGATTTTCCATACAACCGAGACACAACTTCGTACAACCGGGCCACAAACGATACAATCTTGAATACAACCTCTCCCAGTTGTACAACCAGTTGTTACGTGTGTGGCTTGCATAAGATTACATGACTTTCTTAGTTCTACCATGTCAAAAGGCAATAGCAGAATATATTATTAAAAAAAATTCAAGTGTTTTACCCATCGACAATCAACATAAAATTTTAGAATAAAGTTTTTCTATAATGTGTATACCACATGAAGTTTCCTTGTGTAATTTTTAACGCCGGACTGGCGGCGTTCAATTATAACAAAGCCGATTAGATAAAGCCGTTCATTTATAATCTTTTAACGCCATAGCGCCGTTAAACATTGTCTCGACTTGATTGTCTTGCCCGTTCTCACACTTCGCGAATTTATATCGTAAAGTGAACACGCGTTTTTGTCAACGCCGAGTGGGAAATATTGGAAAATTCTTCAAAAGAAGTTTTTATTGTATAACTTTTGAAAGAAAACAAGAAGGTAATTGTATACATGTATTAATTATTTTAATTTATTATGTATTTCATTAAATGAAATCGGGCGTATGAAAAGGGAATATATTAGATCTCAATGTGTTACGTAAAGAGACGAATGTAAAAATTGTGAAAAAAGAAAATTATGGGATGGTGAGCAGGAATGGGTTTTTGACCTTATGTGGTTTTGATAGAATTAAAAAAAATGTATGTATCCCATACAAAATTTTATTATTTCATTTCAATTTATATTCAATGGAAAAATTATTGAGTCACAAGGCAGTGTTGCTGGCCGCAAATTCTACTTTCATAATCTTAAACCTAACCTAAAAATTGCAAGTACATATCCACTTTTTCATTAACATCGTGTATGACATTTGTCAGTGTATGTGTGTGTGTGTATGTATATAGTAGGCATGTATGTGGCTTGGTGATCCACACCGCTGCTCTGATGACGGCGTTTTCAGTATTTGATGCCATCTTTCGTCTTGCACCGATTACTTTGTGTCATTTATTCTCTCGAGTTTTGCACTTTTATTTCTTTATTGGAATTTAAATAAAGTGTTCCAGTAAGCTCCATTCGTTACAGTAGGAAGAGTATACAGAACGGTTATTTAGATGGAAATAGTAAGAGAGAGCTTATCTTTGACAATGTGGAACTTGCAAGCTTTTTACATGTTCGTATTTTGAAGTGAGTTAAACTTCGGTTAGCTTACTTCGTAACTTTCCCTTACACGGCCCACAATGTTAAAATACTCGGAAACATATATTTTGAAAAATTTTAAGTTGGCAGAGCTCTCAACGTTTATCAATACTCCTATGTTAGGTTTTCAGTAGATATTCCAAATTTAAGTTGATCATCGTCAGTGTCAATGACCCTCGTTTGAAGTCGGCTTTGTTGAAATAGAATGCAACCCTATTTAAATACGTTTTCTCTTTGCCCCACTGAGAGCCAACACTTGTCATCATTTAACTAACCACAATACCATGTCCACACGAAACATTTTTGTCAAACACTAATTCATTTCGATAAGGTAAAATAATAGAGACAACCAGTTTTGTTTAAAAATTTAAAAGCATGCTTAGAATGATTGTTTTTCTTTACATCCATTTTTACTGCACACATAAACATGTATTTTATTTTAGGTCAAAACAAGCACAAAAAAGTAGAT